CCATATATCTATTGTATTAGGCAATTACATAAGGTTGGGGTATATTTATAAGTTTCCGTTCTTTTCTATTATAGCGTATTACATTTTGGACAGGATCTGCACTAGAAGCATTACTTGCCACAGTTACAACTGAATTGTCGTGCCAACGGACAATAGAAATTTTTGATTCAGATTCATATGCTGAAAGATAGGATCCGAGGTCTTTTTTTCCAAATGATTTACAATTTTCCATTGGACATTTATTTGTTCTATTTTCCCAGATAGTACCGGTGGCAAAATAACCATTAGTTTTTAAATGTACAAATAGTTTGAATGAATGAAAAAAAAATTGGTGATTTACTGACTTATCTACAACAGAAAGTAGACCCATGACAACGCCACCGCCAAGACCAAGGTCAGAATGAGCTTTATTTTGAGCACCACCATATGGAAGTGAATAAAATAGGTACCCATCAGATGAAGAAAGGCACCAAAGCTTGAAGCCAAAACGAACTGGCTTAACATTTTGCAGGAATGGAGGCCAAAGTAAGGTACCATTTGTTCATCTATGGATAAGTTGAACGAAAATATGCCAAACCGAAGATTTTTTTTATTTATTACATCAAAAAAGGGTATAACTTTTGCAAATTTATTAATTTTATCCAACATATTATTGTCAGATAAGTTTTTATAAGATCAATTCCTTTGTCTTCATCAGTAAACCAATAATGCTAAATATGTAACAATGAATGATAACCCGAGAACAATAACATGCCTATAAAATTTAAAAGTACATTTTTTGACAAGGTGAATTCATGGCGGTTATTGTCTTGACCATATTCCTTCTACCACTTCGTCATCAAAAAACATAACAAATATTTCTAGCGGAGTTTTTCCAGAAAGCTTATTTTTTAGTTCCTCACATGATCTAAATTCATCGGATGTAGGTGTGTGAGTGTACTCAATCTGACCTTTCTTCCTTTGACAGTAGAAGCAAGCCTGTCGTTTGCAGAAAGCATACGTTTTTTTTTTTAATTCCAAGGTTTCATCATCTGATGAGTCCCATTCAGGTTCAGTAGTTGATGAATTACAGGACTGTTGAAGGACAGGTGTATCATTAGGTGCATGTAACTCGAAAGTTCCAACTATATCAGTTGATCCCCAAACTCTTGTAGATTATGTTATCGTTCATATCTTCTTTGTCAGTCAAGGTATCCACGTCGGGTGGAATATAGACCGCGGCAATATGTTATGTAAATATTTTTTCAAGTTATTTTTAGCATAAATTTACAAGGAATGGAATGCTACAATACATAAGAATACGTAAATCCAAATAATACTTACGACTTTCATTGTTATTGTTCTCATCCATCACGATCTCCTCCATAGCTGCCTCTAATTCCTTTTGAGTCAAATACCTCGGAAATGCCATATTTTACGAACTGTAAGGTTCGCTGCACAAGACACAAACTAATACTCAAGAACACGCTAATTGTTGGATGTTTATTCTGTATGCGCTGACTTGTCTCGACTTGCAATAACAAAGTTTTGTTTCACAGCTAAAACCAGTGGTGCATTCACGCACCAGTAAATATTTTCAAAAAATAAAGCATAATCAATACAGTATTTCCAATGTATGTTTTCTGCGATGTAATCTACATGCTATAGACAACAAAAATGGCAAAACAAATCCAAAATATTTTTTTTTACTATTTTGGATTTACTTGAAAATGTGATACAAATTTATGTACCGCTTTTGTTATTATATAAGATCTTTCCTTTACACATAAATAGCTATGTCCATGGTTTCTTTAGTAGTGATAATAATAAAATTTCTAAATGGACGTGCAAAACTATTTCCTGAATGTGACAAAAAAAATCATAGAATAGGTAGTGCATTAACGCACCACTGGGACAAAATAGGTTAAAACGTTGCAAACTATATTTTTTCTACGACCGTTAGTTTTTGAGGAAAATTTTTGCAAAACAACACGAATACATGACCGTCAGAATTTAATCCATGAGAAACTGATGCGGTCAAATTACACTTTCAGCACGATAGGAGAAAAAGAAGAGTAGAAAGAAAAAGTTACGATTTATTTATCGCAGCCATATAACGTAATGTCGCAACAGTCCATTTTGAACATATAGCCAACGTTTTTTGTTAATCTGAATTTCGGTATTGAAGCCGCCCTGTACGTCCAACATACATATATGTTTGTGCAAATTTATTTTATAATTTTTAGGTAGAGGTCCTCTGTTTTTGGAAGTTTAGTAATTAACAAAATTATTCGTACACTCTCAATCAATCGATTTAATTTCTTGATTTTTTCAATCCGATGTACGGTTTTCGCTTAAAAAGGTAACAGGCATAGTCATAACAATATCGCTAATATGACATGGCATACAGAGAAATTAGTTTTTTTATTTGCCATTAAGAGTAATCATTTCTTTAAGGAAATCAGTGGCGTGTGACTGACAAATCATCATTAAATCGAGATTTTTTTTGTGAAAAATAAAATATCTATATAAAACAAAATATCTAGTTTTAATGAAATAACAAAACATCCAAACAACAAGATAAATAATAAACAATTCTTAGTTTCAAAAAAAGCATTTCCCTACTACTAACAGTTTTCAACAAAATTGGCTGTTAATAAATTACTAACAACCTTTTTTTAAAAAGAGTAGAACATAGAAACCAGATAAGTTGTTGACGGTACCCTCCACTTCAGCCCTTTTCCTCATATTGCCAGGCACTCTTTGAATTATACCTCCAGTGGCTCTTATTAAATCACAGGAAACTCTTATACGAACCTTCAGCTCTTTTACAGTGTTTAACCAGACTTTTACAATGCTAAGACAAAATACAAACTATTTTAATCTGTGGACCTAGGGAGCCATGGTTGAGGTCTGCCACACTAAAGTGAGCAGTCCAGGCGATATTTATAACCATTTAGACTTTCTGGCCGGGAAAAGGACCAAATTAAGTAATTTCCAAAAATTTCATCCCAAACATTTACTGAAAACTGTTGATGTTCTACAACTGCAGGGGGTTTTCATCTGCCCAGATATGGTTATTCTGGAAATGTCTAATTGCATTTCTGGAAAAGTTAGCAATTTTGTCCAAAAATCATGGACAAAATTAACACCCAATCGAAAATCTCTGGGAACTAACGCTTGGACTCGTTGAATATGATACGGGTACAGTACTCGTGCAAAATTTTTCAAACCAAGGCAGTACTAAGTTCAGGATTTTTATCAACAGAACTGCTTCTTCAATATTCGGACTTCTTACAGTCCGATGGGCTCCTTTTATATGATTATTTACTCCTAAAGTGCCTGTTTAAGTGATCTTTCTATGTTCATTTGAAAATGTTTGTCTATTTGATATGACTCTATTAGGAAAGCGCTCTTGAAATAATCGCCTACCTTACGGCGCACTGCCATCAGCCAAACCATACATAAAATGCATATCTGCCAACTCGACCATTCTTTTTTAAAATAGCAATGCTCCGATATTTTAAACACCAAATTAATAACACTCGAAGAACTGAATTTAAAAACTGATTTCGAACAACCGCCTTCACAGCAGAATTAATAATGATGTACTTCGATTTTTTCAAATATTTTAATCAAACAGATAGAGAATTACTTAAGTAAGTCTGCATACTGTCGTACTAACGATACTGTTATGACCATGCAGAGGTTTTTATTTTTTTAAACGATAACCATACACCGTGTACCAAATAAAACGATCCACTATACGATCTGGAAATCCATAGGAGATACGAAAAAAGTCTCTTTACAGAAATTTCTTGGACTCTCCTGAAGATGTCAAATATTATAATTTTGTTGATACAGAGTGTCCCAAAAGTGTACCCCCAGACATCAACTTTGTTATTTTAAATGCAATACCCTATATATTTCGACATTTTTTGAATCCTTGGTTAAAATTAAGGTCACATTCTTAAGCAGTTCCTATTCGAATTTTGCATAGTTTAGGCATAAATTGAAGTTATATGATTTTTTTTTCGTATTATGATTGCCCCATATAAAATTGTGTTGTGACGCTAGAAGTATTGCAACGAAAATTTAACCACAGACTAAGGAGATGATGCACTACTCAGCTTATACATAACATCAATTTGTGCCTAAACTATGCAAAATTCCAATAGAAATTTCTTCAGAAAGTGACCTTTATTTTAACCAAGGATTCAAAAAATGTCGAAATATACAGGATGTTCCATTTGAAATAACAAAGACGATGTATCAACAAAATTATAATGTTTTAAATCTTTAGGAGAGTTCAAGAAACTTTTGTACGAAATTTTTTTTCGTATCTCCTATAGCTTTTCAGATTGTATAATGGATCGAATTGGAAAAAAATCAAAAAATTAAATTTCTTTGGAAATGCTTGGAGATTGTAAGAATAATTTTTTTTTAAGAGAAATCAGTGACCACTGGTGTATTTAAAAAAAAAAAGTGGTACACTAAATAATACCATTTGATGTACATGTATGCCAAATATCAATCAAAGTGGAATTCCAGATATTAAAAAATATATTTAATTTTTTTAAAACTTTATCACCCTGTATCTCAAAAGTTAAGACGTTTAGGACTTATGTTCATATGAAATTTTCTTTTTAAAATGGGCCCAAATATCGACCTGTTAATTATTGATATTCAATTCAATCCTGTATTTTAAAAGTACAAATGAATCAAAACGACTTTGTTTTTTTTTTATATAATTTACAGATTCTGAGGTATCATAGCATTATAAACGGGTCACCCAGTATAATTAATAGTTTTTCTGAGTTTGCTACTCGATAAAATTAGAAATACGGGCATGGGCGACCACGACCACAACATCAACTGAAAAAGTGAACCGACGATGCAGCCGCGGCCTACTGGGTGACTGCGGGCGTCTTCTTTGCTGGGGGTCCGGCGGTACCTTTTTTAATGCTTCACGCGGCAGACTATCAGAACCGCATTGTCGACCGGGCAGACAAAGATAAATCCTAGAGACCCATGGCAGGCCTGGCTCTTGGTATGGGGTCCGTTTTTGATCGGACCCAATCGCCCGATAGCATCGAGCACTTAACGGCGAGAAGAACGTCCCCGTTACCTAGCTGGTCAACTGCGATAACATGTGCTTTTTATAATTCCAAATAAAAAACTTGACTCCACCCGGTGGTCGCACAGAAAAGAATGAAACATAACGGGGGACGTAACAGCACGGGAGTCTTTTTTGTCACGCGTGCAGTTTTGAAAAACCGATCATTAGTCGCGGATGTATGGTTAAATTAGTTTATGTTCGCGGCATTCTTACGCGAAAGCGTGCGGACTGGTGATTGCTGACTTTATAAGTGCATATGTGTCGGGCTAATGGTATGTTTAATAATTCCTCGTAGAATCTCTAAACAGGCATGTTAGTCCTAAATCTGTTTAACAAACTGTCTATCACGGCTATGGAAAATTATTGCAAATAAAAAAATAAAATTCTGATAATCTGAAGCCGGGTGTCTGGTTTTATCAGCCACAGACTTTTTTAGTGTTATTTATGTCAAGGCCGCATACAATTACGTTGAAATTTAGTAGTTTAAATTTAGTAGTCTATATACAGGCTGTCTTACGATCGGTGAAACATTTTTGGACATTTAAATTTAGTCACATAGGATGTTGACTCGCTCTGTTGATCTAGAATATTTTCAGTATCACAGTGTTGGCGGTTTTCTCTAAAAGTACCCACAAATTTGATTTTTTAAAGGAAACGACCCCTATGTTGCTCCATTTGTCATCACTTTCCTATCATTTTTATTATTTTAGTACAATATCCATATTAATCACTAGCGGATTTCTAAATATGAAATATTGTCCATATTTTAAAAATAAATAAATAACTAACTTCAAAAACTAAAGTAAGTGTGTGGGGTCACATATATTCGGCGATACAAGTCATCACCACTTTGATTTATAAACTTAGCTTCAGCATCATGGCACTAATAACAAAACTTAACAGGCATATTCTAGCATTCTTGCCATATTCACAGTTAAAGTTTGTACTTAATTTTTGTCCACCTTGTATTAATTGACATCCAAAATGTTCACTCAATATAAGACAACATGCCGTCGTCCACAATGAATCCACAAAAAATTAAATAATTAAGGTTCCCGCATAGAAAAAAATGTTAATATGTTTGACAATAAATTCAAGATTTGTCAAAATTTGTTAAAGACTTAAGTACATAAAATTATATCTAGAATTTTCCTGTTAATCCAAAAATGCAGTAATGTACACTTTTTTCTAGTTAAAATAAGAAATTTGGTATTTACCCCAGATGAACGGAACACCCTGTATATATAAAAATTATAAACAGTCTAGATGAAACCATGCAAATTTTCTGTGTCGCTTTCTTTGATCGTTCGGAGTTTCTGAGTTAAAGGGGTGGGAAACCGTATTTTGGACCCCATACTAGTTTCCTGTGGGTAACATCTTCTGCAGTTTACAGGGTGCTTACAGAATTACGTTTTTTCTATCTTAGTTATTATTTATAAAATTGACAATAGTCAGTTATGGAAACTTATTAAACAGATGAAAACTGGGCTACATATAGTTTTTTTACGCAGGATTCAATGGAATAGTCAATTACACTCACAAACTTTGTTTTAAAAACAATTTTTTTTAATAGAACACCCTAAATATATAACAAAAACGAGAATATATAACAGATAAGTTTTAATATAAAAACAATGCTTTAATTTTATTTATAAATTATCCTAATTTACTTAAGTTGTCAAGCAGTCATTCTGTAATTATTATAATTATTATTCTAAGTTCTGCTACAGATCATTGGATATAATAGCAGATTGTTATCAATGCGCATTTAATATTACGCACACACATGTTTATTTTGACAGGTAGCTAACTATCTATTAATAAAAAAAAGATATATGTGTTGTATTTGGAATACCTCTTATGTGTCACTTTTAAAAAGCTACTAACCAGTCTAGTAAAATTATTAAAAGACATATGAGTTAGTTATATCAAAATTTGTAAGTGGCTTAAGAAAAATGACTACGCCCCTGGGTAAAAACTAGCCAGACCAGTCTGAATTTATTAGGTAAGTATGTAATAAGCATAACCAAGCTACAAAAACTTTTTATAAATGCAAAATTTCCAAAATCACTCGGTATCTAAAAAACACCATAGCAATCTTTTATTGACACCTTTCATTTAATCAAAAAAGCTGCAACACGCTAGCCTCCATCAAAAATGGAACACAAAAATGATGGAAATTATTTTCGATATTCTAAAATGACCAGTAGTATTTGTTATATTCAATTTTAAAACTCGGTTTCTGCAAAGATTTTAATTTTAATCATGGTTAAAATGAATACTAGTTTATAGAAAACTCCATATCTCCAAAAATACTCATCTTATATTAATAAACTAGGAATCGTTAAAATGTTTTTGGCTAGGCTATAAGTGATCGCTTAACTGCAAAATAATAAAACCGCTGTGAAAATGGATTTTGGCAAAAAATCCACTTTTCGCATTGTTATCAAGGTCTAACCAGCCAGAAGTTATTAAATCAAACAAAAATTTTGGATGTCAAATGATATTTAAAGACAAAATAAAATTTTATTTCATCTTTTACTTTTTTTTGCGATAGCTTTGGTTTGCCAAAAATAAGTCAATGGCTGACATTATATTGATGATAACAATAACGCAATAACAATAATGGTGGTCATCTCAGAAACTCAAAATTGATTTCCGGCACTTTTTCCAGGATTTGCCTAACTTTCTCTTCTAATTTAACTAACTAGATTATTATCAGCATCAGCTATAGTTTCCTGTGTACACACTAACTCATTTTACAATTTACTAATTACTGATTAAAGATTGGAAATAATTTAAAAAATCATGAAACTTTATGCTTTGAGTGCTTTTTCTCGATAAATAATAGTTCACGGAAATATTTCTTTAAGGCGGGATTCAAGGCAACATGCGTAGTAAAGAAGTTGAAGGATAATTTGTTTAAAAACAGTGGTGACAAAAGCATGGCAATATTTTTTCTTAATGTTAACTGATAAAATCAACAAAGAAAGAACAATATTTTAAACGCCCCAATATAAGGAGAACACCATTTTCAATTATTTACAATTTCAATAACCAATATCCCATCCATTGTTGAGTGAGTTGATCAACATCAAGTGGTAGGTTACTCCTAAGTTACTCTCAGGTCGTATTTACTGTTCTACTCATTCCCGTAAGTTTTCTATCGGGTTCAAGTCCGGGTACTACACTAGTCAATCTAAAATTCGAACATTGTTCTGCCTGCAACACTCCTGCACATTATTGAAGGTGTGTTTAGGATCATTGTCCTCATGAAAAATGACTCGGCGAAAAAAAGCATAACGTTTTCTACAATGTATCTGTATAATTATAGAGGACCCTCCACCCCAGATGACAGGCCAGCCCACCAGACTACACTACCTTTACAATTCTTTACTGCAGGGGTTATTGATGATGATGATGATACTTGGTTTACAAGAATTCTAACCGTCTCATTATCTCGGAATCAAAAACATTATAACGTGTCTGGTCATTAAAAAATATCTTTCTCCGCTCATCAGCTGTTCAGTTGATTTGCCTTTGTGCGAATGCAAGCCCAGCAACTCTCTTTCTAACTTACTCTAACTTGAAGAGCTCTTAAGATTTGGGATGTTAAATCTTTGGACATAACAACTCATTTCCCCATTTTCTTTTCTAAACGGGCGTTAAAAAAAGTTATATTAAACTTAGTTATTATTGTAATAGCTCAAAATTGAGTAGACCCACGGTCTCTTTTTTTTTTAATAGAATAATAGAGAAACTGAAGCTGATCCATTTGTGTTTACATTGTAACGGAAGTGTTGAATAATTTTGGTAAATGATTAGGAGCTAAACAAACAAATAACCGCTTGATTAAACTGATTCCACAAAGTCCTCCAAATTGACGATCCACAACGAAAACCAGAAAAGCGTATATGAAAGCAATTGGCTCCCAAATATATATTTTGCTTTCGTTTAATTATAATTAACCTTTTGACTTTGACTGTGTATGCCAGTTATTAAGTGAATCTTTGCTGGAGGCAAGATATAATACTGTGTCAATAATACGACCATAATAACATTGTTCAGTGCCAACCGGTTTTATTGTCTGCTCTTATCAACGTCTGACTTGGCGAAAACAGTATAGTTCCACGTTTATCGAATATTCGTCGACGTTTCACTATGACAGAATAACGCGTTTTACCACAAACCGAAAGCTCAACCAACCAAGTTGGCATCTTCAGGAGAAGATTAAAACTTTAATTTTAATCTAGTTAATCTAGTTACTTTCGCAAAATGAATGAAATTCATTTTTTGCGAAAGTATACGCGCCAGTCAACTTTTTTCAGATCTCGGAAACGGTTGGTCCTAGGGGACCGCCATTGGTACAGATCGAATCAGGGTCGAAAAAAAATTTTTTTTTTGTCTGTTTCTGCGTTCTCCGTTCTCTGTATGGGCTAAAACCGCGATAACTCGGCAACCGTTTGAGCTAGAGGGCTGAAATTTTGACCCTTTTATCCTGAAAAAACGGCTTTCTAAAAACGAAATATGAGCCCGATCCGACCACGGCAACCCCGATTTTTTGTCACTTTTGTTTCGATTTTTCGGCTTCGCTATGAAACACGATAACTGTCCGAAATTTGAATCTATCGATTTGAAATTTTCCACGAATGTAGAGACCGGGCCCCTAACGGAACCTATTGAAATCGAGAGGGATCGATGATTGGGAAGTATTTTTAAAAATTCAAAAACCACGTTTTTTTGAAAAATTAAAAAAGACTATATCTCGAAAACGGTTTCGCGTATCGAAACAATTCGCAAACGAGAAAATGCAGAATGTGGATACCCATAAATCCTTATTCTTGATAACCGGGTGTGCCGGTATTTCCAAAAAACTGATCCTCGAGTTACCCTCGCAAAGATAATTGACCATAAGTTAAACACTGTTACTCAGTCAGACTTTTTTTCTACATGAAAGTGTAGGCCGTAGAGACAGCTAAAATCGTTGTATTTAAGGTTTTCGCGTATTGTATAGGGTGTTC